TTTACGCTGTTCCCCCGTGCAGTCGCTGATGGAGAGCAGCCCCGGAGAGGTGCTTGTCGTGGACTGCGGAGGAAGCAACGTGAGACGGCGGGACTGTCGTGTCTTGTCAGGGGGGCGGACTGTCGTAGGGCTGGGGTGCCATGTCTTGTCTGCGGGCGGGACTGTCATGTGTTGCATGCCCAAGTGCGTTGGTGCACCTGTTCCACTACATACCGGTGTAAAATTGGTATGGTTTCGGGCGGCCGTGTTTTTGCATCATACAAGTATGGCTTCAGCACCTTCCGACGTTGTGCGAGCGAATGCACCCCCTAGACCGACTTGACTTGCGTGTCTCGATTTTCTCCTCACTCAAAAGAGGGTGCCAAAACCGGCTGATGGCTTTTGTGTGGGGAAACCTTCGCTGTGGAGAAATCCAGCAATGAAGAGTCGTCGAGCAGGGAGTGCATTTTTTTTTTTTTTCCGTCACTTTGAATCACCCCCCCCCAACAGCTCACAGCCTTCGTAACGGGCAGGAACTTCCATCAGGGGTGCCACTTGGGAGCGGTGCTGCCTTCACACCTCTGGGTTCCCCGCTCGATCGTCTTCATGTGCCCCACCTCCATACCTGCCCCCGCTTCCGTCCTAGCAGTAGACACCGCCTCCCTCACCCTCCCCCGGCCTTTCCATGCGCCCCACGCCGCCTGCACTCTCATAGCACACACACGTCCTACGTCACATGCCTCCCCAGCCTTTCCGTGTGCCCCAAGTTGTTGTTGGCCTGGGGTTTTACATGCCACCTCCCTGACACACACACGCACATTACACGTCGTCGGTCGGGGCAGATCGTGTCGGGTCGCCGGGGAAATTGTTTCGGCTCTCCAAGGTCCTTCTTGTGTCCGGGTTTGCAGGGCAGCCAACCCTCGCCCCATGCCTTTGACACGCCCCTGACACCCTACCCGGCATCCCCGGCTATCTCATTTTTCATGTGGGACCGCCTTGCCGAGAAATTAGGGAGAGGGTACGCAGACAGCATCCCTTGTCCCCATTTTCCCCGACTGCATGCTTTTATTAATCCAACATGTTTTTCCTCGTTTAAGAAAAACGAAATGTCATGCGAAGGCTATAAATATCATGCGAAGGCTGCTGTTTGTGTGCCCCCCCCCACTCTTGCTGCACAAGCACCCACGCACACAAGCTTGTTTTTGTTTTCAACCGCACTAATGGCTGAGACGGACGTGTTTTCATTGCTCAGCCGGTTACTACTGTAGCGCGGTCGATGCTATTGAGAAACATACACACACGCACGTTGTCGTTCGGAGCAGATCGCTGTAGCGGGGGAACTCTTCTCGGCAGAGGCAAAGCGACGAAGCCTGGCGGGGATGCTCATCGAGGGTGCCTGCAGGGACACCGAGACCATCGCGAGGGTGAGAGGATCATAGCCGATAGCGTAGAGGTATTGCCGGTAGGCGACGTGAGGTAAGATAACATACCCCCCTCGGACGATGAAACAGCTAAGGACCCGAGGGTGTCAGCAGGGACACCGAGACCATCGCGAGGGTGAGATATTATTAGCCTTAAGCATGGAGATACTACCGGTAGGCGACCTGACGTAAGATAAACTACCCCCGCGACGATGTAACACACTACGGACCCGTATCATGTCCGCCGTCTTCGACAGCGTGACAGGGGCTCGAATCACCAGTCCAATCTCCACCTCACCTTGCTGCGTCGTGTCCATCGCATCTATCTGTCGCATTCTGGCCGCCCGCCCCATTGGAGGATAGGGGACGATTCCTTATCCTACCCCTCGTAGATATACACCCGGATACTACACCCCCTACGTTGATTATGAAAGCTCAACTACGATCCATGACAACGAGAATGGATGCTATACCATACGAGGCGCTCTCCAGACATGTCGAAAAAGTGTACCATGTGGTTTGTTTTGTTGTGTTGCGTTTTCTTTTTTTTTCTGGACTTTGTGGTCCTTGCACCGTTTTGGTACAGTTCTGGTCGCACCACATTGGGCCGCACCGGTTTTGGGGAGATGTAGAGAGATCAATCATCCTCTGGACGCTCACAAGCGAGGTACACGCGACCACAAAACCCCTTCGTTTTTCATCAATAGGCAGAGGTGTTCAACGTCTTCCTTTTACCATTTTCCGAGCTTCTTATGTATCTCTTCCATGCCTGCCCGTCTACCTTAATGGGCTTCTTCGGTTTCGTATTTTGTTCTGTTTTTTTTTTGCGGCAGCTCCGGTTTCCGGTGTACTGCCGCTTTGTCAACCCCATGGCTGGACGATGCATCACCCTGGACAGAGATCTCATGCAGGTACTGCTGTAGGTGCTTGCTTGACGGGAAACCGGCCGATGTTTTTTTTGTCGTATCGCCGGACCCTGTATCACCGTCGACAGACATCTCATAGAGGTACTGCTCAAGGTGCTTGCTTGGCGGGAGCTTGGCATTATTTTTGTTGTTGTATTCTCGTTTTTTCCAACATGCTTGTGTGTGTATTTTGCGTGAAACCTCACCTGCCGAAACGGGGGGCAGCGTCAATCTATCCCCGCCTTGCAGCAAGCGTGTTCTGGTATACAACGAACGAACATTCTGGAACTATTGTACATGAACGCTGACGATACGAGACCGGGCGCAATTTGAAGAACTATCTATCCGCGCCTTTAACCACGCGTGCGTATCTTGTCCGAAACCATTTCTGGGACCGGGATTGGCGGAGTATCTATCAACCTGTATTTTTGAAAAACATCCGTTTGCCTCCAGCGGTAGAAACAAGCGGCTTGTTCTTCCTTGCAATAGGCGAAATCCCTTGAAACGTTGCACCAGCTGGTGTTTTTCCCGAAGCCTGCAGGCAGGCTGCCTTTGTCCCCATATGGGGGTTTGGGGCCGTGTCCTGTGAATGTTGGCCGGGTTATTGGAGAGCTATCCCAACTGTGTTGTGTTTAGTGTGTTTATTGGCTTTTGCCGTACGGGGAACGTGCAGGCGAACACCCGAGTGTTGTTATCGTTGTTGTTGTCTTCACCTTATAAAACCGTTCCGTTCTCTCTGCTCGGTACCTTCTGCTGTCCGTACTATACTAGTCTAACACTTGACGGTGCGGTCTGTATTTGTTTGGCTCCACCTCTTCCCCGATGTGGTTGTGTTGCCATGTCTCTGAATGATGGCCATGTGCTTGTAGAGAGGTCGCAGTGTGTCGTACATATTGACTGGAACTTCGAAGTATTGCCTTACGGAGAACGTGCGTGCGATCGCGCAGGTAGGTATTTTTTTGTTACCAGGTAGCAAGAAGGCAACGGACCACACAGCTGAACGATATACCAAGTACTCCGTATATGTAACACCCGATTGACGAAAACATTGGTAAGAGTGCTTCTTTTTGTTTGTACTTGTGGGTTTGTGAAAGCCAAGTGAACATGCAGATGCAGTCAAAGATAGACTTTGCCTGTTAGAGACATACCCTCATTCGAAAGGGGATGTCTCGATGTCTTCAGTGAGTGGAACAAAAACGTTCGGTTTTGTATGGGTCGATTGCTGCACGACCAATCAGAGCAGCCAAGACGTGCGCGAAGAAATCTCTACGAGTCGTTGCCGAAACCACGATTGTCACCTGTTATCGAGACTGGTCGCACCTTGTCTTGTGGAGAAATCAAGCTGTACCGCAGTGCGCCCGGTTTACCGACAGGAGGGAAGTACGGTCGCTAGTCGGGGCGGGTCATTTTGTGTCGGTATATATGGCGGCTGTGTGCAGGGGCACAGAGGTGTCCCACGCGTTGTGGGTCCTATACAGGGCGTATCGCTAAGCAGGGGGGCGCTATATCGAGACCCGCCGACTGTGAAATATCCCATCTCCCACATGCGCATCCGCCCTCACTTTTTTCGGAGATCTGACATGCTCACCTGTTCACCTCTGACATTACTCAATCTTCAATTTTGGACAAGTTTATTTATTTTTTTGTGTACCTTGCGCCTTGGCGTTAGCGTCGAGAATAAATCCATGTTCGCTTCTGACTTTTATTCCATGGTCACCTTGGACATGGGTCTTCTGTTTTTTGGGGTGTGCCGCGGGCCGTGGCGTTAACGTTTCTCCGTAGGTGCCCGTCACGATCGGGGGGGTCGAGATCAACCCCGGCGACGTGATCATGGGAGATGATGACGGCGTCGTGGTTCTCGGGAATGACTTGGACAAAATTCAGGTGACACAAGGGTGCCGGGAAAAAACATTTTATGACACCTATGTACCCTCCAGAGGCGCTGAGGGGGGGGAGGGGAAGGTGTGCTCATAGTCTTGCATGCCGTAGTCGTTAGACCATTGACCTCGCATCCCTACAAAGCCGGAGACCCCCGCACAACATGATCTACTCGACCACCATTATGGTTACCGCAACAAAAAAAAAAGGTAAGAACAAAAACGGTAACCTGTTTGCCGAGTTCACGAAGTGAATTGGCTTGTTTTACAACATCGTTGACAAACGACGAAAACCCAACCCCGATGGCAAACACCGGGGGTAGGCTGGGGGGGGGGGTGTACTCATAGTCGTGCATGCCGTAATCGTTAGACCATTGACCTCGCATCCCTACAAAGCTGGGACGGAGCATGCCGGGCTCTCACCGGACCAGGGGGGGGGGTGGTATACTAAAATCAAGTGAAAAAATGATCCAAAAAACATTATTTCTTTAACTTTTCTAGCAAACGGCACTACTGATTTTTTTTTCATTTCGACCTCTCTAGGACGTGGGTGTCATTTTCATTTTTCTGTGGGCACCCTTGGGTAACGTCTTCTTTGTGTGTCACCAGCGGCCATAGCCCTCATCCACTTCACTTGTACTAGCCCGTTGTTGTTACACTATTCTCTACCGTGATTGTTGCTGTTGCTGTTTTCTTTTCATCGTTTGTAGGTGTCAACCATACCGCCTGCATTTGCACGTTGTCGTTGTTGTTGTTCCCCTCATTCTATGATGATTGTTGCTGTTTTCTTGTTAGTATCGTTTGTCGTCAATATTCTACGTGTTTTCTCACGCGTTCCCAGTAGCGTTTCCCGAACGCCTGTAGTCCCTCATGGATGAAGAAGTTGTGCACGGTCGCCCGCTCCGGGGGTGCGGTGACAGCTGAATTGTGAAACCCAAAGTGAGCGTTGGCCTGGAGAAGTTGGCGATATTGCACCCCCAAAACTGACGATTCAAAACTTATCCGAAATAGAGAAAAACTCGCCCGACCTACTACTCCCAATAGTCATCTACCCCACCGGCGGGGCAAAAGCAAAGGATACCCGACGTATGTTGTCATGTAAGTTTGCGTTGATGGCTAGAGTAATGTTCGCATCTCGTCCGCCCTTTCATCCCGTGTTTCTGTGCACTTGTTGTTCTGGCAGAAAACTGCCCTAGCTGCTTCGGAGATCCTGCGAAACGAAAGCGCCGTGCTGACCGAGGTCCTCGACAACAACAGATGTCTCTTGGAGTTCATGGACATGATGGACAGCCACAAGAAAGTCTCCCCAGAGTGAATGCCGTTACAAGATGCGCAGAGACGACACCTCCCTCTAGACCGATTTTCAACGGTCGATTGCTCCACGAACAACCTTGTGCCATCAACAAAAATGGTGGTTTTCGAAGCGTCTCGTCGAGGGCTTGCCGTAGGCGTATTGGGCTCTTTCCGCTCCCGCTTGGTTGTGGAGAATTCGAGTGATGAATGTCTGAGGGGTGTCATCTCCCCGCCTCTTGCGGTAGTCATTTAGTGGGATATGCCGGGCACTAACAAGGAAGGTTGCTCCAGGCTGGAATGGCGCCTGATGGGCACAGCGCAAAGTCAACAAGAAGGCTTGGAGAGCAGATGCGCCTGTCACTGTCGGCAGTAACCGCGAGAACCTAAGCGGGCGTGTTTCGTTTTTTCCATCTCTTCATCCCATCCGTGTTCTGGCGCCCGTCGACACACCTTTTCGGTGTAAGATGTGTTTGTCGCGCCACGCGTCGTCGCAAATGATTATCTGTGTACACATGCTCAAATTTTCGTCCTGCGGTGCTTGCCCCAGTTTTGAGCCCTGGCTGATCCAGCCCGCGTTTGTCGCTGACGTGGTGTGTGGGGTACGGAACTCGGTATTCTCTTCGACGTTTTCGGCTTTTTTTTTTCGTGAGACATGGTTGGAGATTCCGTGGGCCCAGGGTTGGGTCGAGGGCACCAACGTGTGGAGTACGTTGGGTAGGTGCAGTTTTAAGTGCTAGTTGTAGAGATGGGTGGCCTACACCGAGGCCTCGTACGTTGGCCGCTAGCATGCAGCGTGTAGGGTTGGCCCGACGGACACTTGTTGACAAGAGGTCAAGCTTGGCGGTGCTGTCAGAGATACACTTGTTGGACTTGACGCCACTATGAAGACGAACATCCCACAGCGAAGGGTAACACGTTCACGTTAATTGGATTGATTCTGTTCGCGAGACGAGGGCCTAGCGAGAAATTGGAGAGCTGTCGGATTGACCACCAGGGACGTTCCTCGAGAACACTTGGCGTCTCCTTTCGCGACTGGTTGCGAGATGGTTGCATCTTGCACGGTGTTTTCTGTCTCTCCACCGTTCTGCGCTCTGGTTACCCCGGCTGCGTGCATTAGCACCGCGTCAGGTTGTCCAGCGGGAAGACGATTCATTGCTGCAGGATTCCCCAGGATCAGAGAGAAGTAAGACATGCACTCACTTGTTGTTTGTGAAAACGGGCACGTCTGTAGAGGGCAAGAAACACCAGGGAAGACGAATCCAGAGAGACGAGGCAAGCTTGAGAACGCAACTGGTGTGCGTGTGCATGACTTTGAGATAGGGGCTGCGTCGTTAGGCGAGAGGACAAACCATGCGGTTAAAAAACGAGGGAAAATTGTACGTCATGCAAGTGCAATTTCGCTGAGCAACCAGGCGAATTTCACTGTAGAATGCCCTCGCCGGTTGTTCTCTCGCCCCAGTTGCACTGATACATGGCGTGGTACCCGTCCCGCATTTATGCTCTAAAATTTTGGCCAAAATAATTTCTCGATCCGGACCTGACTTGCGCGGGAATTGACCAGAAATTGTCGTCTTCTTCGGCTTTCGAAAAAACTTGTCCGGTACACAAGTTTAACTCGTTGGATACTATGTAGACCGGTGTCAAACCTGTAGCTCTCATCTTTCGAGCCCAGACAAAAGTATCGTACAGCTGCTGAACCAAAGGAAAGCGATGGCAGAGCTCGAAGACTTGATCTGTCAAACACATCTCCACGACCGAGTGAATTGTGATGCGGTCCAACCAAGCTAGCCCTGTCTTCGTTGGTTGTCGTTTACGGCGCAATATGCCGCAATGAAACCCGTGCTTCTGCAAAATGGTGTTTTCAAATCCTACTGTTCAATGTAGCACAGCGCACAAACAGTCCTCAACCTGCCCTAGCGCATGTCGCCCGAGACGCAATCCCCAGGAGGGAATGCCTCCCCTTACGTTCCAGAACCTCGCGAATGCTCGACAAGGTGCACATCAAACGTGCCATCACTATGCTCAAGTCAAGCATTGACAATCATGCGTTCCATACATATTTTGGAGGATCCCACCCGCATGCACCCCCTCTACATAACGCAGCTGCGGGCGAGCCGAGACTCTCACTCCATCATCTCGTCCAGTGGGTGCTAACACGGGTGACCTATCACCGTATGACCGTGTTCTCACGGCCGAGCACCTCCACCTGATCGAAACCCTACTCCACCGCGAGGTACACCAAGGGCGTCTTCACGCCCTCCGCACCGTCATCCCCGCGACATAGAATCTGTGGCGCGTGTTGATTTCTTTCTGCGCTAACTGGCAATGGAGGCCTTGTTGATACCTGCGGGCCACCCTTGTACGAAACCCAAATATCCCACCTTTGTGTTGACTCCGACTCATGTACTCTGCCCCATATCCATTCTCCCTGCAAACTCACACAAATTTCAATCTAAGACTACAATTGTGTGCACTGCTTCTGTCAGCGTAAGCTGGGAATTTCCCGTGGTCGACCGCAGAGGAGTGTACTCATCGGCCTCGAAACGCAGAGTATACGAAAGACCGACACCAACGGCCAATGAACCCGCCTGCTGGGGACCTGGCCCGAACGAGACCGATTCTCTTGGAAAAACATGGAAGTACGGAATTTTCCGCATGAACAAAAACCTTGTCCAACAGTCTACACTATCCTGCAATAACCAAACACTTCCGCATTCCTCGTCACCCCATCGAACCATCTCCATGTCTAGACTACATTGCTCAAATCATCCATCTCGAAAGGGGATAAAACGGAACCGAAACCGCAACATCATTGCAACCGACGATACCGCAGTTTGACACCCCAATATCGTCCTGCCCCATTTTTTACTCCCCCCCCACGTCGGCCTGTCCGATGCTCTACGAAATACGAAAACGCCTGAACGAGCCTCTTTCATTCCTACACCCACCAGAACGGCATGAAACAGTAAGCTGAGGTCAACTCGACTTGTGTCTCCTCCCTTCACTCACTCCTCCGAACGCGTGGTCGCACCGTGTACTCGCACTCCCAGCACTGTGTCATCGTCCCTGTACCTTAGGGAACTGCACGACCAGTCCAAAGTTCAAGCCCAGAACGAGTCGTGTCATCAATCCTCTTCCCCACCAAAGCGAAAGACGGAGGCATCTGAAACAATGTATGCACCGGCGGGAGTCCACACCGGCGGGAGACGTTTCGCAGAACTTCGAACAACCCTAACGACCGACGGCCCTCTACAATCTAAAATTGTACAACGTAGACACGAGACCAACGGTAAGACCGTCGGTCGCCCGACCGGCAACGTCGCCCAAGATATCGACACGAGCGATGGTGATATATCCCGGCCGTCGAGGTTGAGCTGGTCGTCCTGTTGGTGTTGTCATTCCTGTTGCAGCTATGTAATGGCGTGGCTGACTGCAACTTTCCAGCAGCGATGGTTCGAACCTCAGGAAAATACTCGCAACATACGCGGCGACCTGCCAGCACGTCGTCATGCCAACAATAATCTGGTTTTGGTTTCGGCCCAATAACTGGAATCCACAGTCCCGAACATTCACGCACGATCCACTTGTCCCTCTCGATCCCGAAACTCTGGCAGACATTTCCCGCACCTCTGAAAAGGGGCGCAGACGTGACCGAAACGCAATAATATCCCTTCCTCCTCGCTTTTGAATGTTGTCACACCATAGGGTTCCGGCTATAGGTTCAAGTGACTTCCATCGCCCCCACACTCGAGAATACGAAGAAGGTGTTCTTGGTCGCCTCGGCCGGCAAGGTGAGGCGTGTAGACCAACCACCACAACTCCAATGGTAGTTGGAGGAAATCCAAATGAAGAGTGAAGCCGCTGCCTCTCTATCGTCAATGCCGATGCCACCACCCGAACTGTACGCAAACGCCAAGACACGACCCTCTTGGCCAACGAAACGCATCACGCCATGCTTGTCTGTGATGACCACTTAGCTGGAGCCTCGTCGAAGCACTTGCGGGGCGTCGATCTCACCGACTTCAGAAGAACGGGAGGTGATCGCCGAGCAAGAGGCCAACCGGGGACGCAAGGCGCGGTGTGGAAGCCCCTCATCAAACTATGTACCCCGCCCCCCGGAACATCGGACCGGGAGCAAAGATGGCGGGTGCGAGGGTGGAACACACCTGTTTAGACTATAGCCAAATGATCTTTCTCTTCGGTTTCTCCACCTTCTCTTGCCCCTCATTCTCGTCTTCTTCCTCCTCATCGGCGTCCCCCACCGAGCCATCGCTGTCGTCATCGTCGGAGTCTTCGTCCGACTCCTCCTCTGACCAGCTTTCGACAGGGCGCCGGGGTACCGCCTTGCGGGCCCTCTTGATTCCACCCCCGCCACGAGTTCTGGTTCGTTCACCCCTTGCGGAGTGGCGCCTGCCCGAGGCCGTGCTCGAACGTGAAGATGAAGCCGAAGTCCTTCGACCGCTGGATGGGACGCGGACGAAGCCTTCGCCGGCCCGCGGTGCACCGTGCTTCTCGCAGTGAGTCGGCTGCTCGCCTTCCACCCCCCACCTCGCAACTGCACGGCATCCCTTCACCCCAGCTACGGTACAACGTTGTGTGAAGCTGATCGCGAACCCTTCCGTGAGGTCGCCTTTGTGTTTTCCGCATACACTAGCCTTCCCGTCCGCCCAGTATCCCCATCCCGGTCGACTGGTGCACCCTTCACCGTGAGAGCAGCACTTGTGCGCCACGTCCACCATTCCTTCCTCGGCATGTTGCTTGCAGAACATCGCCGTCTTGCTTCCCTGGTTGTTGAAAGTTGGGTGCTGGGTGCATCCGGCTTCAGCGCAGCGCTTGTGCGCCACGTCCACCATTCCTTCTTCGGCATGTTGCTTGCAGAACATCGCCGTCTTGCTTCCCTGGTTGTTGAAAGTTGGTTGCTGGGTGCATCCGGCTTGGGCGCAGCGCTTGTTCAAAACGTCCACCATTCCTTCCTCGGCATGTTGCTTGCAGAACATCGCCGTCTTGCTGCCTTGATTGTTGAACGTTGGGCGCTGGGTGCATCCGGCTTGGGCGCAGCGCTTGTTCCTAACGTCCACCATTCCTTTCTCGGCATGTTGCCTGCAGAACATCGCCGTCTTGCCGCCCTCGGTATTGAAACTCGCGCTTCGGGTGCATTGCGGGGCCCTACACTTGGTTGGCATTGGTGCCGGAAGACGACGTGACCCCGGAAGCAATAGGTTTCCTCGAAAGACGTACAAGCCTTGGAACCCCTGGACATTTGAAGAGTGTGAGAGGAAAGGTGTTGTTCCGGTTGGAAGGGAATTGAGAAGGGTCATGAGGACCGCTTGTTGTTGTTTATGGTCGGGAAAGGGCGAGGTCCGGAGGCCATCCTCCAGACTATGTATACCAGACCACATGCAATCAGTCGGTAAGTTGAGGTCAACACCATCCCAATATTCGCAACGTTAGCGGATATCGGCTAAAGCAGCTTTTCCCCCGCCCGAACCGCAGTATAATAGTAGACATATTGTAACTCTTCCTGATGTCAACCACTACACACGATTTCCACACGCCGTCTTCACTTCATCATCCGGGCCTGTGGGAAGTGAAAGCTTGTTTTCTTCGGGGCGGGAAACGGGGAATACCCGGTGTCCAGCGGTAGTGGGCACAGTGATGCGAAGAAGAGCACCACAGCAGTGCCTTGGCTATTGCTTGCGAGTGGTCATTGGTAAGCGTTTCAACATTTTCGAGACGGCCGATTGGTGATAGTCTCGCGGACGCGAGGCTCTCCGCCCAATATTTCAATAAGTTCCAACACCAGAACTGACGGATACGTTCCTACCCGAGAGTTGCCTGGAACACCGGGCTAACAATCTACACCCGCCGCATCGCAGGGAGGCGACGCGCCCCAAACCAAACATACAAGTCCGTGCGTGCGAAAACCTTTGGCCACGCTCCCGCCTCACAATAACACCTTGCTGAGGTTGTGGATTTATGTCTCGACTCGTACACCGTACTCCATGCCGCTTCTGGCGTTCACTCCACGATAGGAAGTGAAACATTTGAACCGTACACAGTGATGCAAACCACGGCTGGTTCGGAGGATTTGATATGTCTGCCACCTCTAAGTGTCGCACCACGCCAGTGTTAGCAAAACTTAGCATACCCGTCCAATATGGCACGAAATGGTGTGTTGTTTCGGGGAGAGTACATCCACACCAACTACAATATATTATGTTTGTTTGGGCTTGGTTGCTGAATACTCCAGCTTTGATTGATTAGGGCTTCGTGAGGAGAATCTTCCTTGGGGTTCACGCCCCATGTCCTGCACATCTGTGCAGTCGGAGAGAGGGACAGGGGAGAGTGAAATCGCCGCCTACAGAGCAGACGAAACCTATGGAAGTGACAACAATTTATCCGGCAACAGTCGAGGGGCAGACGCGTCGGAAATGAAAAAGTGGTGGAGATATTTTCACTTGCATTCAAACAACTGTATGACACGTATGTTCATCATGGACTGCTCTATACCTGTGGGTGTGGATCAGTGCTAAAGTCGACGTATCACTGCCGATGAATGGGAGCGATCCACGACAACTCCGAATTGGGAATATTGCTCTCCCGGCTGGTAGACTACGCATAGTAGGCAAAACAGCACCCCAGCAGTCTCATTGTAGAGGCAAAACCAGCAGCTAGCTTCTCCGGGAGGGAAGGAGACGAAATTTTCACAGAATTAGCAAACAAATGCTGAACTGAAGAAATATCCCGAAAACAACGATCGATTGACAAATCATTTTCAGCAATCATTTGTGAAAATGGTCGTCAGACGTGAGCTCGGTGTTGCAGATAGAGCAATCAACCTATCCCGCGAGACCCAGCCACTTGCATGGTGTGGACCCGTCGACCAAGTCGTCGAGGGAATGACCACCCCAGCAGTTTGCTTTTTCACAGGGCAGTCAGCGTGAAGACGATCGTTGCAAAGAGAGTATTGGCATATTGGCGCATTTCGTCATCTTCACTTTGCTGCTGTGCATGCAGCTGGACCTTGTGAACTGTATTGGATTGAGGATGTTTGAGGCGGCGAGCATACAGGTGTACCTATGGTTTGCGCAGAGGGATATGGTGTGATTTGACAAGCCACCGTGAAGTGAAACTGGACGGTGCTGTACAAGGAGTTGACGCGTGCTGCTCAGAGTCAAAAAGGGGTCAAAATTGCGGCTCAATCCCGTAGTAGCACGTTCGACCTCGAACGAGATGTTTTTACCACAGCACACCTGTATGGTCTCTGCTCATGTGGAAGCTCGTCCTGTGTCTACGCGTAATATGTGAAAGCATCCAAACACCGGGTAAGCGACGAGCGGGAGCCTTCTTCGGTCCAAATTCTCACCTGCCTCCTGACAGCTGCGCCACGAGGAGGAAGCGGCGACACAGCACTGCGGCTTGTCTAGAGCGCGGGATGGAGCTACAGGAGGGCGTGTGGCGCGGAATGCTCTCACCAACCGATTTGAGAACTAGCAGGGGTAGCAGTGGGGTAGTGTTGAGTTCGTTTGTTGATGCGCGGGCGGTGTGGAGGTTGTGTGTCACCAAGCACCGCGTGGGAAATATGGGGCTCCGCAGATTCAATTTTTTTGTCTGCTGAAGAGAGGAAAATCGAGATGAAATCCAAAAAGTGCCGTGCTACTGTATACATCCAGCAATAGAGAGGGCTCGGCGTCTTTCTGAATCTTATGAGGATGTCCGCGCCAGATAGGCGCCAGTCACCGCAGACTAAGCGCCGCAGAGCCCTCGTGTAGACAACTAGCTGCTCCTTCGAGAGAGAGGGAAATATATCATCACATTCAGCGAGAAAGACCGTATGAAATGAATCTCCCGTGAAATGACGATTTCATCATTATTCAGCATGTCATCATCACCTTCTGTCCGTGGTCTCCACCCGTGAGTTTCCAACCATCGTCTCACGAACCACTCACCTCTGGATTACATACGTCCTCACGAACAGGCAATGACGCAAGGGGGATTGACTGTGACGCGTGTCTGAGTGTGCAGCATACTGTGGAGCACATCGGGAGCGACAGCAAGACCGGAATAGTGTTGTGAAAATGGTTGAATTGTGTCGTGAAAATGTTTTGCCAGCAATGCAATCTGTGTGTTGTGGTGGTGCTGTGAACCCATATTCTTCTCTCTCGACTTCTTTGGGGTGAACAGACGGTTGTGAAAGCGAGCGCATGTATGCTAGATTAGATCTTGTTTGCTATCCCGCACCAACGCCGAACCCAATTGTGATTGACAAAACGTATCATCGCAAACAAATGGACGTACCCAGCGGCAACCTAGCACGTACCGTGTGGCCTTGGGGTTACGGTTAGGGTTAGGGTCATTGTTCGTTATTATTGCCGTAATGAGACTCTTTCCAAGAGCATTTCCTCCAATTTCTGTGTGTGCTGCCGATGTCGACTAGCGGATCGACCAGCAGCGGGTGACTGTCCACCACCCGAGGTCCGGCGGATCGCGATCGCGTTGTTGAGTGGTGTTTTGGGATACTTGTAGGGGTCACGTTCAGCGAAGAAAGTGACGTGCTCTTGTTTTTTCTTCATCCCGCGATCTACACGCGCCAGTCTGCTGTGTCGCCGCTGCTCCCTCGCGTCCTGTGGCCTCGTCAGGTGAGAATTTGAATGTATGAAGGCTCCCGCCCGACGCTTTCTCCCTGCGTGTCTTTGCCAGTGTCCCGTGGAGACAGCACAACCCATCGCACGAGCCAAGGGCACATATGTTTAATGTGGTTATTCTCTGATTCTCGGAACTCTTGGTAGACGTTGGGATTGTCTGGACGGGTTCTTCAAGGTGCCGAAGGTTGAGCCGCATGTTTTGACTCCGTGGGGCATATCTCATTGACGATGAAACGCCTTGGCTATCAGAATTGGCTATAGTATTGGTACGGGATGCCAAACCACATCTATATGCACCTAGCATATAGGCTACATGTAAGCTCGATTTCAGCTCTTCACTCCAAAAAAGTTGAGAGAGAATAATATAATATCGTTTCAAGAACGTCGTTTCATACCACCACCACCGCAACACACACCTGGCTAACAATTTTCGCAACACAATTCAACCATTTTCACAACACTATTCCGTTCTAGCCGTCGCTCTCGATGTGCTCCACAATGTCCTTTGCACAGAGACAAGACAGTTCCCTCGGCGTTGTCGTGTGTACTGTATTCATAATCCCCCAATGCTTTTTTCAATATCTGAGTTCTGCGGAGCCCAAGTACTTCCACGGTCCTCGGTTATACCCAACCGGCCACCGCCTGCGCACCACCGATCGATCTCACCCCGCCCCACTGCTAGCTGCTATAATGTAGTTCTTATATCGGATGTCAAAACCACTGTACGTCACACAATATCGTGAAGCCTCATCCCGCGATCTACACGCGCCAGATTGCTGTGCCGCTGCTGCCCTCCTCCTGCCGTCACTCGCTGCCAGGTTGGGGAATTCGACTGAACAAGTTTGCGCCCGTTGCTTACCCAGTATGAATATCTTCGCCCTTGCCCGAAGACACAGGACGGGCTATCTCAGAAGGAGAAACCAAACAGGTGTACATTTTTTGCTGTGTGACCACATCTCGTTCACGAGGTCGAAGGTCACTCATGTTTTATATAAATTCGCTCCATTTGAATGTGAACGGAAAGAACGACGAATGCCTTCTTTCGAAAGCTCAACAAGCGTGTGCATAGAGGGCAGGAACGGGGGGACATATAGGCACCTGTTCCTCGCTATACTTATTGCTTGTGCAATGGGGTAGAGGATCTCTGACGCGCACGAACCGCTGCTGCTGTTGCTTTGAGCGTCTCGCATGTTGTAGCGTTAGCCATTAGTGCAGGACAGAAGTGCAGGGGCACGGTGAGCCAAGCAACAGGACTGAGGACAGTGAGTTGTTGTCCCTGAAATCTCAATTAACGCCGCCTCCCCGTGTTGATGGCACTACATGGGGGCAGGGTACTCCTCGGGAAAATACCGCCAAGTTGCCGGTACTGCAAGGTACTGCTCCTCCCGTCGGCAAAAACAATCGGGGGAAACAAAAATTGGGATGGAAAAAAGGTGGCGCTGAGGAGAATCGAGCCAGGTACCTCTGGCAACGACTGACCACGCACAGACTCGTGCAGACAAACTCGAAAACTAAAATATCGCCCAAATCCGGCGGAG